TGTCTGGCAGCAAGGAAGTTGCATATGGTCGAGCAAACACCAGATTTAAAGGATGTATCACTGTTTACCACTGATGCGATCTATACAAAAGAATGCATTGGTGCAGTATATTCAAAAGGCAAAAAGTGGTTTGTTAATCTTAAATTTAATGATATAACTCAATCTTGTCAGTTGGACTCGGGGGCAATATGCGATGTGATGAGCCTAAAGGATAAAAGGAAATTGGCACCTGAGACACCCCTTCAGCCTAGTAGTGCCACACTGAAGTTATATTCGGGGGAACTGATGGTGTCACTAGGCTTATTTTATACAGAGTGTAATATACGTGGGGTTACTCACAAATTGGAATTTGAAATTGTGGATGTAGATCAAAAGCCATTACTGTCAAGCTCAACCTGTGACCATTTGGAACTGATGCGATTTACCATTCCGAGGGAGTTGCATAATGTTGAAACCTATTCCTCCAAAGCCTTGGGGAGACCATTGATAAAGCACCAAGTCCTCCAAGTTTATAGGGAGGTGTTTGAGGGCCCTATTGCATCTGTTCCTGGAGAGGTCCATTTTCAACTTGATCCCGCTGTCCCACCAGTACAAAGTGCCCCACGCAATATCCCTATAGCCATTAAGGCACAGGTTAAAGCAGAGTTGGATAAATATGAAGCAGAGGGACATATTGTTTCAGTAGCCGAGCCAACCGACTGGATAAGTAATATGGTGGTGATTAGGAAGTTGGAAAAGATCCAAATTTGCATCGATCCTAAGTTTTTGAATATGGCCTTGAAACGATCGCATTACCCAATGCCAACGTTAGAGGATGTTTTGCACAAGCTGCCTAAGGCAAGGGTTTTTACACTTGTTGATGCCAGCGATGCCTTCTTACAGTGTAAACTGGATGAAGAGAGCAGTTATATGACTACGTTTTGGACTCCTTGGGGCAGAAAGAGGTGGCTTAAACTGCCCTTTAGTGTCTCTGTAGCACCAGAGACGTATCAAAGGAAGCAGCATGAATTATTGAGTGGCCTCAGCAGAATTGAGCCTATAGCTGATGATATTCTTATAGTTGGGTGTGGCGACACTGATGATGAAGCGGAGCATGATCATGACGGGAAATTAATGGCACTATTGGAGCGGTGTAAGCAGGTGAAGCTGAGGCTCAGTATAAAGAAGCTGCAGTTTAAGGTGCGAGAAGTCCGCTTTCATGGACATATTTTAACATCACAAGGGTTAAAAGCAGACCCAGACAAGATCAGAGCTATTGTGAACATGCCACCGCCTACTAATGCTAAAGCAGTGCAGAGATTCAATGGCTTTGTCACATATCTAGCAAAATTCTTACCACACTTATCTGAGGTGTGCCAGCCATTGAGACATCTGTTGGATAAAGACGCAGTTTGGCACTGGCTGCCTAAACATGACCAGGCAGTGCAAGAGATAAAACGCTTGGTTACTACTGCTCCAGTATTAAAATACTATGATGTCACAAAGACGGTTACTATTCAAAGCGACTCAAGTAAGAATGGTCTGGGATGCTGTCTGTTACAAGAAGGTCAGCCAGTTGCATACACGTCCAGAGCGCTTTCACCAGCAGAGTTAAACTATGCTCAGATCGAGAAAGAATGTTTAAGTATTGTATTTGCGTGTCAGCGTTTCCATTATTACCTTTATGGTAGAGATATAATTACAGTTGAAACTGATTACAAACTGTTAATAATGGTTATTATTATATATCTGGATGGGGAGGAACAGGCTCAGGCTCAACCCATCCAAGACTGAGTGGCTGTGGTTTCCGACGTCCCGATATAGTCAGTTGACGCCATCGCTGACTATTGGGGGCAAATCGCTGGTCCCCACGGAGAGGGCTTGCAACTTGGGCGTCCTCCTGGACTCATGGCTGTCTTTAGAAGAGCACTTGACGGCCATGACTGGGAGGATCTTTCATCAGGTTCGCCTGATTCGCCAGTTGCGTCCCTTTCTGGATCGGGACTCCCTACGCACAGTCACTCATGCCTTGTTACCTCCCGCCTGGACTATTGTAACGTTCTCTACATGGGGCTCCCCTTGAGGAGCACCCGGAGGCTCCAACTGGCACAGAGTGCGGCCGCGCGAGTGGTTATGGGAGCAACATGGCGCTCCCATGTGACACCTCTCCTGCGCAAGCTGCACTGGCTCCCGGTGGTCTTCCGGGTGCGCTTCAAGGTTTTGGTTACCACCTTTAGAGCGCTCCATGGCTTAGGACCTTTCTACTTACAGGACTGCCTACTACCACAAACAGTCTCCCACCAGCTGGTACGCTCTCATGGGGAGGGGCTCCTCCAGGTGCTGTCAGCCAAACAATGTCGACTGGCGGCCCCTAGGGGGAGGTCCTTCTCTGTGGGGGCACCTACTATCTGGAACGAGCTCCCCCCGGAGATACGGAGGATCCTGGATCTGCGCACTTTCTGCCGTGCTCCTATTCCAGCAGACCGGCCTGGCCTAATTTTTTCCCCTTCTTTTAAATTTTTTAAACTCAAATTTTAATTCGTTTTAAATTATTGGGAGTTTTAAATTGTCTCGGGCAAAAATTATTTAATTGGGTTTTAATCATGTCTTAACTTTTGTATTTATGTGTTTTATTTCGTACCTGTTCACCGCCCTGAGTTCTTCGGGAGTAGGGCGGTATACAAATTTAATAAAAAAAAAAAACAAAAAAAAAACTATATTCAAAAAGCCTCTTCTGTGCCCCTAAGTGTTTGCAAAGCATGATGCTCAGTTTACAGCATTATAATCTTGATGTCATTTTTAAGCCAGGACATGAAATGTATATCAGCGATACTCTGAGTAGAGCCACAGTAGATCAGACAGCTATGGGAGGAGAAGATGAATATCAGACGGTTTGTTGGCTGTGACAGGAACAAATATGTTTTGCTGAAATTAACCAAGCATATTATCTTAATGTTACGAATCAGCATTACAGCAGTTGAGGCAACATACGGACGCTGACGTGGCCCTACAGACACTAAAGAATATTGTGCTGAGTGGGTCGCTGGATGTGAAAGAGGCAGTTCCCATGATTGTAAGGGAATACTGGTCCTTCAGAGATGAGATCGCTGTACAAGATGGCATTCTGTATAAGGGTCCAAGAGTTATAGTGCCAAAGTTATTGAGACTGGAGATGTTATTGTGCATCCATTCAAGCCATATTGGTGGGAAGGCATGCTATAGACAAGCCCGTGCCTCATTGTACTGGCCGAATATGCGAGGCGAAATTGAGGATTTTGTCAGTAATTGTACCATCTGTAATGAATATGCATATCGGCAACAGAAAGAAACTATGATGTCACACGAGATACCATCCCGACCTTGGCAGATCATTAGTATGGACTTGTTTAATTATGCAGAGAAAGAGCACTTGATAATAGTGGACCATTATTCTGATTTTTGGGAAATTGACCTCCTTCCAGACCTTTCAACTGAGACCATCATCAAGAGATGTAAGTCTCAGTTTGCACGTTACGGGCAACCAAATATAGTGATTACAGATAATGGTCCTCAATTTGTAAGTCTGCAATTCAAGAAATCTGCTGCTGAATGGGAGTTTGATCATATTATTTCATCGCCATGTTATCCGCAAGTGAATGGAAAAGCAGAATCAGCTATAAAGATTGCTAAGAACTTATGTAGGAAAGCACATGGCGAATGTAGCGATCCGTGGAAGACTATTTTACATTGGAGGAATATGCCAACCGAAGGTATGGACAGTAACCCAGCACGAAGATTAATGTCACGGAGATTAAAGACGTGGCAAATAAGTTGCTTGAGCCCGTGGTGATACAAGGGGTCCCGGAAAGGCTATGGCAGAAGAGACAAGTGGCGAAGGCCAAATATGATAGAACTGCAAGAGACTTGCCAGAGTTAAAGGTGGGAGAACAAATTTGGATGAGACCACTGCCTGAAGATCGGATTGGCCATTGGGAAAGGGGTACCTGTTTACAATAAGTGGCACCTCACTCCTATTTGGTAGAGGTTGGAGGAACCTGATATTGGCGGAACCATGTGGACTTGCGTGTGGCTGAGCAACCAGACTCCTCATATCCAGTGGGTGGGTCAGAGCCAGTTGCCAAGCCAAACCTACTTAAGGATAATAAAGATTGCCCGTCTGACATTGACGACAGTCCTGAGCAAGTTGGTGTGTCTGGTGATAGCCAAACATCCGAGGCCTCAGAAAATGGCGAGCGAAGAGATCCGGCCTGCATGAGAGAGTCAGGTGTGAGAGAGCCAGTCGTTACTCGGAGTGGTAGATGTTCACGCCCCCCTGATAGACTCAACTTGTAGAAAGTGTTGCTGTTATTAGAAAAGGGGAGATGTTATGGGGTTGTGTTTGTTTTTAATCTTTATCTCTATGTGCCTCTATGCGGTGTTTCCGGTTCCTGGGTGTTGCCTTTGAAGATGCTTTATAAGCGTTGTTAGTTAGTTTTACATTGTTAATAAAAGCATATCCAAAACAATTTTGATGTGTGCTAACCATCATACTATTCTCAAGTCACCTTCCCATAATTGTGATGATTTTCACTTATGGAATGTTGTTTTGAAACACACATATTTTGCATGAAAAATCTACCAAGTTAACTTCATAAATTAAAGAACCCAGGGTACACAATATGCTAAAACATGCAACATTTAATAAGTACGAATCAGAATAATTGTAAAGTACAGTACATTGTAATCCTGTAAAAAGATGAGGTATGGTTCATTAAGAGAGGGGAAATAATCTATATTTAAATCTGTCTGATGTCATAGGTTTAGGTCCAAAAGACAGCCTTATAGTATGAAAATGTTGTAGCATAAACTAAAATAATATTAAGATATTAATATCAATTTAATGTACTGTTCAGATACATGTTTATCTATTAAAACATGTTATATATTGTTATATACAAATTGCAATTGATGATCTATTGAAATAATTTCCACCAGATATTTCACATATGTCAGGCATGAAAGACTGGGTTCACACATGAAGGTTCAATTTAACCGATTTATTGTTAAAAGCCTATGCACAGGAATCTTCTCAACTAATAGTCAGAACTTGGCTAGGGTTAGAGAAAGGTCAATAGCAGTCAAGGGGACTTGGATTTAATTTGTGGCTGTGTATGATTGTAGACTCATCTCTCATTTCATCTCTGCCCCGGGCTCTATCAGTCCTTCTCTTACACATGCTATAAAAGAAAAAAAAAGTTTTAATTGTGAACTAAAAGAGTAAAAGCAGATTTTTTTTCATGAAAATCACAGAGAATTAAAAAAATACACTTTCAGTAATTAATCAGGATTATTCATATTTAATGTTGAGGTTTACTAAAAGGGACCTGAGACAGGAAAAAATTAAAATGTAGTGGCAAAATCAAAACTTCTAATCAAATGTCATGAAAACTAAGCATGCATTTTTCCAAACTGTAGAAGGCATAAATAATATAAATCGATTTGTACTGCATGGTCTCTATTCTTTCAAACAGCTGTTTTGACTTCATTTCTGTCTCTTTTAAACACCATAGAATCCATATATGAGGTCTATTTCAAAATTTCCACACCACTCCTGTCCGAATGCTTATCTATATTCCCACAGATACCTAGATTTTGATGTCATGTTGTTTCCATCAGCATATTCAAGAAAGTATCACATTTTCTTTTTTCTGCCTCTGAGTTTAAAGGAAAAAAATGTCATTCAACTATAATACAAGGAAAACATTGCCTTGGAACACTTTTTGGAAGTGTTCTTAACAGCATCACTCCATTCGCAGCAGAGCAGACTACAAAGGCAGCAAGACACTCATAAAGTTTTATTCAAGGCAGTCATCTGAAACTGGATTGACATGGATAAAGGCTGAGTTAGTTGGTATTCTTGTCATTCAAATCTATTTGCTTAAAAAAAGAAAAGAAAAAAATCAAGGAAAATAGTGAAAGAAAAATTTTCAAAGAAAATTCTCTGCATGCTATCAGCGGTAACTGACTCAAGCAATCTTCATCTCATTGATGAAGTCTTAAAACTTTGTCAGAAGAAGCACTTTGAAGTTGAGAAGGGATTTCCTTTCTTTTTTCTTTTTCCATTTCTTTACTTAGATTTATTTTTTCCCAGAAACATTTTAGGACATCTTGTAAAAGTAAAGGAGTCTCCAAGAAAGACTAGCAAAGTATTCTTGTTTCTTTCCATTATTCCAAGGCCTCTTTCTATGCCATTATTTTCAATCTTTGGACATTAGGGAGGGGAAAGAGATGTCTTCTAGGATTTAACTAAGAGCTGAAAGCCAGAAAAGCTGAACAATGAAAGAATCTATTCAAATGGATTCCTTGACCAACCTGACAAGAAATGATTAACATATTACATTCAATTCTGGACACTTTCACTGTAATTTCCTTCTTTTCTGAAAGTAATTCTTTCATTATTTTTTTATATTAAAGATGAGGAAAAAAATCATATGACAGAATACAGATTGATAGTCAGATTTACTGTATGTCATGCCTTTTGTTTCAGGAATAAAAAGAAACATAGGAACCATTTCTTTTTTCCTTTTTTTTTTGGTCACAGTAGCACAATGGCACTGTGAGGGAAATGGAGCTGAGAGAATGTGATTGGAATTGACAAATAAGAAATTCTTTTTTAATTGGTAATGGAAAACAAAGTGTGACTGGCAATAAAAATCAAAGTTATAAAGAATTAAAGATAAAACTGGATTGAGAGAAAGGTGGAATGGTTATTTAAGAGGTTTATACTGGAATTATAGTGATACGTTGAATCATGATCCTTGGAGAATTTGCCTTTGTGTGGCATAAATTTTGAAACAGGTCAGGAGTTCATAGCCACAATGGTCACCATATACCTATCCCAAATCATTGAGATCTTAAAAGACATAGTGTGACAAGCATTAGTTCAAAGTTACCATAATTTGTCATGATCATCTCATTGTTTGTTGGATCTCAATTTTTGGTCTTAAACCCGACAGAAATAAACAGCAAAAGGCTTAATAAATTACTGATGTTTGCTATGATTTAACATAACCTAATGAGGGATGCGGTGGCGGTGGCTTAGTAGCTAAGATGCTGAGCTTTTTGATCGAAAGGTCGGCAGTTCAGCGGTTCAAATCTCTAGTGCCGCATAATGGGGTGAGCTCCCGTTACTTGTCCCAGCTTCTGCCAACCTAGCAGTTCGAAAGCATGTAAAAATGCAAGTAGAAAAATAGGGACCACCTTTGGTGGGAAGGTAACAGTGTTCTGTGTGCCTTTGGCGTTTAGTCAAGCCGGCCACATGACCACAGAGACATCTTCGGACAGCGCTGGCTCTTCAGCTTTGAAATGGAGATGAGCACCGCCCCCTGGAGTCGGGAACGACTAGCACATATGTGCTAGGGGAACCTTTACCTTTTCCTGTAGCATAACCTAAGATAGCCAAAATAAATCTGGTTCACATGAAAAGCTATTTATTTTTCATAGTTAATTCCAAAAACTTACAGCAAAAGTTAATATTCCAATCTGAACTGGACCTTTTATACATTTATAACTTTCTTAGATCAAAATCTTATTTAGCATGCAAGGAAAAGGACAGTTGCAGATGTGCCAAAAAAAAACAAAACCCACTGGATGACTACTTAAAAACACAGAGCAACGCACAATCCAACCACCCTCCATCTTCATTATATGAAAGGAAAGCTGCAACAGTATTTGATACCAGTGTGCAAATCCAGAAAGCAGTAGAAAGCCCATTTAATCTCTGAATCTTGCCATGAATCTTTCTTAAGTGATTTGAAGGCAACTCATCTGATTCCACATCTTCAGCTAATTAAACGTATTTCCCACTTTAACTATATTGGTTGTATTTTAATCTAAATAAATGGATTCACAATTTAGACTCCAATCTAAACTTCTGACTGGCTATGCAAACAACCTTAATAATAATAAAACCTCAATTTTCATCTGGTAGAGAATGTGCTGCTATGAAACAAGGCTGGAAAATGTCCTTACAAATGCTGGAGTACCCTGCCTGCCAGCAGTTCCTTCTGCTATCGCAGAAGACCACACATTTTTCACCCCTGTCTTTAGATGCATCAGCCAGAACAGGCAATTTGGAATTAACTACTAGCTTTATAGAGGTGATTGTGAACTTTGTGTGTCAAGACCTCAGATATTTATCAGAATACATTGCAGGACCAAATCGTTGCCACTCTCCCAATCTTCCACACAGGAATCTTTTCTCTCTGAGATTAAGAACTTCATGCTTAGCAAGCTTTGGTAATAAAACATATTTGGAAAGTCAAGACAAGTATTAATGAGGCCCCAAAATAATGATTTAACAAGTTATAGTTCTTCCCTCCTCCCATCCCTTGGTAAACTACTATAAAAAAGCATTTAAAAACAATTCCTATAATATTGCCAAATATCAGAATGTAAGAATTATTTCAGAAATCTGAAGCAAAATTTAGAAATTACTTATCTATCATTCTTTCTATTGCATTTGTTGTTGTTAGTTACGAAGTCATGATTGACCCATCGCGATCCCATGGACAATGTTCCTCCAGGCCTTCCTGTCCTCTACCATCCTCTGGAGTCCATTTAAGCTCATGCCTACTGCTTCAGTGACTGCATCCAGCCACCTCATTTTCTGTCATTCCCTTCTTCTTTTGCTGTCAATCGTTCCCAGCATTAGGCTCTTCTCCAGTGAGTCCTTCCTTCTCATTAGGTGGCCAAAGTATTTGAGTTTCATCTTGAGGATCTGGCCTTCTAAAGAGCAGTCAGGATTGATCTCCTCTAGGACTGACCGGTTTGATCGCCTTGCAGTCCAAGGGACTTGTAGGAGTCTTCTCCAGCACAAGTGGTGGGTTGCTATCGGTTTGCCCCAGTTTGGGCGAACTGGTAGCGGTGGCAGCTGGATGTCTTCAAAAATGCTCTGCACATGCACAGAACCTTCTGTGCATGTGCAGAAGTGCCGTGTGTATGCTCCTGCATGCATGGGCATGAAACTTGGGTGTCCTCCTGGATGCTTGGCTATCCCTAGAAGACCATCTTACGGCCGTGACCAGGGGGGCCTTCGCACAGGTTCACCTGGGTGCGCCAGTTGCGCCCTTTCCTGGACCGAAATGACCTTCGCACAATCACTCATGCCCTGGTTACTTCCCGCTTGGATTACTGCAATTCCCTCTACATGGGCCTGCCCCTGAGATGCACCCGGAGACTCCAGCTGATCCAGAATGCAGCTGCACGGATTGTTACGGGAGCCCCTCATTACTCCCATATAACACCCCTCCTGCGTGAGCTGCACTGGTTACCCGTGGTTCTCCGGGTCTGCTTCAAGGTGCTAGTCCTCACCTATAAGACCCTTCATGACTTAGGTCTGGGATATTTGCATGACCTTCTCCTGCCTGCCTCTCACCGTCCTGTTCGCTCACATAGGACCGCTCTCCTCAGGGTTCTGATGGCGAGCCAATGTCACCATGCTGTGCCCAGGGGTAGGGCGTTCTCTGTGGGTGCTCCCACCCTCTGGAATGAATTACCTACTGAGCTCCGGATGGCTCCTGATCTCCGCTCCTTCCGTTGGGACTTGAAGACTTGGCTTTTCAAACAAATAGGCTGAGACCGATTCCGGGCTTTATTATTTACTACTAATTAATTATTTGGATTAAATTATGATTTTATTGTACTTGTTTCTTAACTTGTGTTCGCCGCCCTGAGTCCTTCGGGAGAATGGCGGCATATAAATACATGTAATAAATAAATAAATAAACAATTCCACAGGCTCCCGGTAGCAAACTGGTAGCGCTGGGAATTGAAACCCACTACTGTCCAGCACCATAGTTCAAAGGCCTGATTCTTTGGCGCTCAGCCTTTCTTATAGTCCAACTTTCACAGCCATACATTGGAACTGGGAAAGCCATAGCCTTGATTATATGCACTTTTGTTGGCAGGGTGATGTCTCTGCTTTTTAGTGAGCTATCTAGATTTGCCATAGCTTTCCTCCCCAGGAGCAAGCGTCTTTTAATTTCTTGGCTGCAGTCCCATCTGTCACTACCTCCATTTCTTCCCCATATATTTGACAGGATTCTATTGCATATAATAACATTAAAAAGATTTTTTTTCTTTAAAAATGTCTTCAATATTAAGTGTAAGGATGATTGAGAGAATTTAATCATCATTTTAAAGTTATCAATTCACTTCAATCAAATTTGAAGAAAATGAGAACCCATTTATCATTTGTATTCCACATATCTTCTATGCCAAATCAAAACAACTGTACAAAAATGTATCTATATTAAGAAAAATTGCCTCTCAAATGAATATATTATTTTAAATTGGTACAAAACACACACTTATCAATGAAAATATTGTTCTTTTTTACATTTTCAAATGTGAAGGATCACATATTTATTTCTTATCATTAATTAATTAATTTATTTTTATTTATTTATTTTATTCGGCTTACATGCTGTCCTATCTCCCAATGGACTCAGGACGGCTCACAATAATAAAAACACAAGCCACAATATAAAATAAAATCTAAAATCTAAAAAATTTAAAATTTAACCCTTAAAACCCCATCAGTCCAGGTCGAGGGATTTGAAAAGCCAAGTTTTAATACATTAATACATTTAATACATTAATGCTTCAATTAATTTCAAAATTAAACTGGATGAGATTTAGG